CTGGTTATCCAGTATAAATAAAGTTAGTTTAGTTTAGGTTTCCCCCTGTAGTAACACTGGATCAATAAGAGATGATCCTTATACTGGACCTCTAGGGAGAACAGTTTAGAACTGGTAGAGCTATCCAGTATAAATAAAGTTAGTTTAGTTTAGGTTTCCTCCTGTAGTAACACTGGACCAATAAGAGATGATCCTCACTGGACCTCTAGGGAGAATAGTTTAGAACTGATAGAATTATCAAGTATAAATAAAGTTAGTTTAATATATATATATATCTTACATTTGCAATCATACAGCACGTTAATTTTAGCGTAATCCAACTTGCTCATACCATTCCGCTGACCCAACTTGCTCATACCATTCCGCTGACCCAGCGTGATCAAAGGCATCGTCGTCGCAAGTATTGTCGGCCTCCCATTTTTTGAGAAAAATGTGTTTCCATAATGTAAGACACTTTCGTAGTCGTACTGAAGACCAAGCGTTGTGAAAGTTTGTTTGGGATAACGAACAAAATTGTTCTCTTGTCCTGAAACAATTGGGGAAATTAAAATACATTTATAAATACACTAGGTTTAAGCTAGAATCTTGGCGAAAATTAGCGCAGACAAGCTGTACAGCGAGTGTGCAAATATGCTCCTACGTCGAGGAGAAAGCCTGAATACGAGGTTGTTAAGACTCACCTGGTAAAATATTTTCCCAATAAATGGAAACATAAGTATCGCGGTCAGGACGCGACTGTTCATGGAAGAAACCTTGAAAATATTAGAGAAAAACCCATGGTCAAACGAGGACGATAGCTGAGAAGCGGGAGTTTGTACGAGAAGCGCCATTGTTTATGACCCGATCAAAAAAGAACAATTAGTCATTAGGATACAAATGTACGTCTCAAAACTACCCAAATATTGCACAAAACATATATCAATTAATGTTGTGACGAATGGCCACTGTCAGTAAGGCCTATCTATATAAACATAAAAATGTTTACATAAATAGTTTATTTGATTTTTATGATTTTTATATTTATCAAAATTTTTTTTAAAATTTTTTTTTATTTAATTTTTAATTTATTTTTTTTTAAATGTTTATTTGATTTTTATGCTTCGAACTAAACTCACCTAAAGCGTGCATTACTTCATGTTGTACAATACCAAGAAGATTGCAACCAGTTCCAATTGAGATATTCTGAGCGCCAAGATACGACTGTCGACCCACACTGGACCAACACCTGTAAGAAATTCAGTGAAAATACTGTACTATACATGTCACATAATCCTAACGCACGTGGTGGGCTAATTTAGGAATCGCACTTTCAAACAAACGCCTGATATAATTTAAGCATATTCTATAATAAGCTGTCGTGGTTTGTGTCTGAACTACCTGAAAAAGATATCTCAAACGTGGTGGTCCAGTGTAGGTAGTATTCTACAATAAGCTGCCGTGGTTTGTGTCTGAACTACCTGAAAAAGATATCTCAAACGTGGTGGTCCAGTGTAGGTAGTATTCTACAATAAGCTACCGTGGTTTGTGTCTGAACTACCTCAAAAAGATATCTCAAACAGAGGGGCGGGGTGGGGGGGGGGGGAGCCTGGCTTTCGAGGTTGAGTAAGTCCTTACCCTCTTTGTCGAGTAAA